ACTCCACTCCACTCCACTCCACTCCACTCCACTCCACTCCACTCCACTCCACTCCACCACACTCCACCCCAATCCACTCCTCTCGACTCCTCTCGACACCACTCCGTTCCATTCCACTCCATTCCACCACTCCACTCCACCACTGGGAGACTGAGCGGTGGGGGTGGGTGACAACCTCTGGAGTTCCCTGCCAGACCCACTGATCCTCCAATTCAAGCCAGCAAAAAATATTTGATGCGTTATATAAAGAAAAACTGTGATCTACCAGGTTGCGACGGTCGCAGTCTGGTAGAACCATCGCTAGCGGTAGTGAGACACTCAGGGGGGGTTATGGTTTCACTGGACCTGGTTCAAAAGACTGTCCTTCGTTCGCCCCAAGTGCATGCGACCATCACTACTTTGAGGGTGCTCCAGCGAATTCAAGACCCCACAAACCATCGCTAGCGGTAGTGATTGGTGTAAGGGCTTGCGACACTCGGCACTTGGTAGATCAGTGCTTGGGTTAGTGACAGCCAACATTGTCCTTTGGGATTGAACCTTTGGCAAAGGGAGATCCCCTTGAGACCATGCTTCAAACCTGCCATCAACCCTCCCACAAAGCTCACTTGGTAGTAAAATATGGGGTTGACTAAACTTGGTAGACTTTTAGATAATCAGTGGCTTGAACCCAACATTTTGCTCTCTGGGCATTGAACCTGAATTTGAAGGAGGTGCCCGTTAAACACATGGGTATACCCTGATTATTATTAAAGCAATTGGACACCATGGTGAATCTGATTCAGCGTTTGAGACTCCAACTAACATGAGCAATATTTTTTCAGCTATCAACTTATCAACTTCTATAAAAGCAACCCAGTAATTTGATATTGTCATAAGTATTATCATATCTTGTACATTTTATGTTCAGATATTGTATCTTGCCACTACACGTGAAGTTGACAAGTTGGTACCAGGTAAAGTTGACGACAAGTTGGCTTGAGTCGGTTTGAGGCTTCTAATTCTCAACCTTGCCAGGAATCCCTGAAACGCATCAAAAGGCGTGGTTTCTGTGTGTGTGTGTATGTAGATTATAAAGCTGTTCTCATGAAGTTCTCACAGTTTTTGTCGTCCCTTCCTTCGCTGCCTTCGCTGTTTTCCGAGCAAAACTCGACCCGCACGTACATGCATACATAGCTTCGGATCAACCGGGTTGACGGATGTTGACGGATGCGCGTTGAGCACTCGCAGCATCCCGCAGGTGCATCCCAGCACCGCACAGCTCATTGAGATCGTGGGCAAAGCTCGGACTTTAGAGGTGGACGGACCGCGTCTCACGACGTTCCGGGCGGTGTGAGTTTTGGGACCGGACTTGGCACGCGAGCGAGCTATTCCGTGTGCCGTCCGAAAGCCATCGACCATATCTACCCTCCCCTGGCAACAAGAAGATCAAAGATTGTGTCAGTGGATGGCATGGCCATGCATGGCCCCTTGGAAAGATAGTGTTTCGAATGCCATGCGGACTCAGAGTCTGTGTACTAGAAAGCCTCCATTGGTGGATGTGAAATCCCCAAGCAACATCAAACAACCTATTACCAGGACCATCCAAGCGGTGTGGACCTAAATAGCCTCTTAGAGGTGTCAGTCGGGGGTGTCCCAAAACCACCGGCCGAACGGTTTCGCTCCTGGTACACAGCTAAGTGGATGTGGACACCGTCCGTGAGGAAGAACATCATCGATGTTTGCCTAACATGCTGTCAGCATCAGATTGAGCTTCGATTCGTCAGGCACTTGAATGAAATGTTGCTGCTGTAGCGGGCACCAAACTTGAAGATGTTCACTTCAAATGGGAAGGGAATGAGAGCGGCATCAGGCCCTTGAATTGCGGCATTTGTTCAACTTCTGACGGGCATTATGTTCCACTCCTAACCTTTGAGACTCAGCATCGGTAGCCCGAGGGTGGCGCCGAGGGTGCCCATGTGAGACGACGAGGTCGCCGAGTTGGTGAGAAGCGGCGTTGATCAACAGGAGACTTGAACTGCTTCCTGATCTAGCACAAGCACCCTACAGGGGTGTGGCCAGGACCTGCTGTATACAACCCTCCTTTGGTACCTGAACTACATACGTTGAGGTGGCAATGCTGCCAACAGTGGCAATTCCGCAAAGCCATGAAAGATCATCCCGGACCGATGCTCATTTTGCTGATGCAACCACGCCTGCGCGAAGCGATTTATTTTTGACCAACTGTGTCCATCATAGGAAGGAGGCAGATGATGGTTTTGGATGGCTTTAGGACACACACTGGTCACTATAGGTCTCAGTCATTCTCAGTTGTTGAGTCGACTCTAGTATTTCTGGCAGGGATCAGGGATCAGGCCCTCAGCAGTTTCCTGCACTTCATTCGGGGCACGGGGCGTGTTGACCAACCAAAGGACTACGAACCAAAGGACCACGACTTTCGCCGCTGTCCCCGGTCGCGCTGCTTTGACGGGATCAGGGTTCCAGTAGCGGACATGGAGGTCTTTGGCCCATGGGTGTCCATGGCCAGCCACCCTTCCTTAAGCAAATCCAAGTCTTGAACACTTCCGATCTACACATCCGATCTTAAGTCGACTTGCAAAGCCAGAAGGTGTGATTAGTGGTTGTCTTCCTCCAGATCTGCGGTGCGCATGGGTGCGTTCCAACCATTTATAAGAGCACTTTTTTGTGGGAAGTGGCCTGGTCCAGTGCCTCTCTGGCACCGCCGACCAGTCGGAGACCGTTTCATGGTCCTGCCCGAGCACATTTCATGGTACAGTACATGGTCCCCAAATAGAAACGTGCCACGGTTTCCAATAAATCAGGGACTCCTTAGGCGACGCGGACCGCGCAGGTGCTGCGGAAGTATTTGGATGACGACGTCATCCCGGCCTACCTCGGTGGTACCAGGCGATGTCGGGACAAGTTCGGTGACAAGGTCGGGAGGATTTTTGAGGACCAGACCCAGCCAGTGGATGGATAAGCTGAAAAACTTGTTTTCTTTTTGGGGGGGAGGAGTGCGGACACCACGTTTTAAACAAGAACAGGTATTTTTTCCAGGGAAACTGAAGGAGTCAGTGACAGAGTTGACATGAGCTGACACCGCAGAGATGCCACTTGCAGTTGAATGGTCAGGATGCTGGTTATTGCCATTGCCTATTAACCTAATTGCTAAGTAACTCAGTAACTCTCTATACACATAGTAGATCCGTAGTTTTGTCAAGTCAGGATTAATAAATCCCCCCTAGTTAACCCGAGCCCACAAAGCCGCCGGAAATTGCCCAAATTAAAAGTATTATTGGCTGTTGATTTCCCCCCTATGGTCTAGTTTTCTACCAGCAATCCCCCCCAGTTAATCCGAGCCCACAACTAACAACTAGGTCAATTTTTCGTATTACTACTGCTACTACTACTACTACTGCTACTGCTACTGCTACTGCTACTAGCTATTGCTGCTGCTGCTGCTGCTGTTACTGTTACTGCTATGCTACTGCTACTGCTACTACCACGACCACCACCACCACCACCACCACCACCACCACCACCACCACCACCAC